GCTTGGACGTATGCTTTTTTCGTTGTCGGAGGAGGAGGAGGAGGAGGAGGAGGAGGAGGAGGCAAGAGGAGGAGGCGGAAGAGTAGGAGGAAGAGGATGAGGATGAGGAGAGGGACGAGGAGGAGGAGTAGGAGGCTCAAGCGGCCTCAACGCGGGCACACCAGCACCCCTGGAGCGCCGAGTTCAAGCAGCTACAGGCGAAGTGCGGGTACCTGGCGCAGCAGCTCAGGGCGAAGAGCGAGGCCGACGAGCAAGCGCCATCAGCCGACCAGGAAGCAGATGCGGCGGACGCTGCTCAGGACGGCAATAGCGAGACCAACAGGCGCCGTGCGGCCCTCCCTGCAGTCGCAGATCCAGGCGCCCGAGAACTACATCAAGAGCTTCACGGACTTCGGGGAGGACTCCGCCGCGACCACGCCCAAGGTACAGTTGGAGGAGAAGCGCGCGCTCTTGCGCCAGCTGCGCCCTCCTGCGACGGCGCGCCGCGCGGCTCAGCAGAAACTGGAGAAGACGCGGACCCAGCTGGACCGCCTCAAGGAGGAACGCGCCAGCATGGAGGCCAAGGTGGAGCAGCTCAACTGCGACATCGCGGGCAAGACGGCAGCCATCGAGGCCACGGCGGCTGAGATTGCGAGGCTGGCTGTTGAGGCCGCGAGTGCGGCAGCGGCCCTCCAGAAGCAGCGTGGCGAAGCGGCGGCTGCCCAGGCTGCTGCTGCGCCCCCGCCGGTCCCTGAGGACGTGTGCGCGCGGGCGCAGGCGCACCCTGGGCTCTCCTCAGACCCCGCGCTGGCGGAGTTCGTCGCCCAGTTCGCGGGCAACGAGAACTTCAGCAAGCTGGAGAAGCTCCTCCACGGCAGCATCCAGACCGCGATGCAGGAACAGCAACGCGACACTGCGATGGGGATTCGCAGCCTGGTCAGCCTGCCGTGCGACCTACTGGTGCTGCCCCTGCTGCTGGCGCAGCCGGCGGGCCAGGCGAGGCCTCACACGGCGACGAGCGCCCTGCAGATTTCACCGCCGAGGTCTTCAAGCAGTTGTGGGGGCAGCAGCAGCGAGACGGTGGCGAGCCCATCGGCACCAACGAGATTCAGAAGAGCAAGGTCCGTCGAGTTGAGCCCTCGCCGGGGTGCTGATCGCCACCAGCCGCGAGTGAGCGGTCTTCCTGTCGCAGCTGGACGCAGCAAGGGCGCTGATGTGCCCGCGGAAGCGCAGCAGGTGCGGCTGCTCGAGTCCGTCAATGCCAATCAGGGCAAAAACATCCTGAAAGAGAGGCTGATCAGGACTCGCGCGCTGGTGGTGTTGGCGCAGGAGATCGGCCACCACGAGTGGGAGGCCGAGGAGCTGCTGTCAATCTGGGCTGGCCGTGCCGGCTGGCAAGTCGTCACTGAGCCTGGCGAGCCGACGGCCGGCAGGCCGCCGATCGCGGGACTGGCCGTGTTCGCGCGAGCGGCCGTCGGCATTCGCAAGCCGGCGGGGCGTTGGTGGCTCGGCGACGAGCAATGCACGTCGTGATCGACGCCCTGGGGTGGCCGCCGATAACATAATCAACCTCTATACCTCCACTGCGCGGAGGGCTTGACTGCGAGGAACGCGGTTATCCTAGGCGAGGTCGGCAAGGCGCTTGCTGGCCAAGCGTTCCCCGGCATCGTGGGCGGCGGCTGGGGCGTGGAGGCGGCCGTGATCGAGGCGCCCCTCCGGCCGGCGGCAGCGCCCCTCGCCGCGGCGGTGCCCGAGGCCGTCGCGTGCCGGGCGGCCGCGAGCTGCTGCGCCATCGACTACTTCGGCTTGTCTGCTGGAGCGCTGCCTGTTCCCGAGTGCGAGCGTGGACTTGGCGCGGGCGATCGAGCCGCGCCGCCCCGTCGTCCTGCACATGGTGGCCGACGGCGCCAAGATTCAGGTGCTCGCCAATTCGGTTGCGCCGGAACTCGAGCCCAAGACGGCGCTCGGCCCGCGCATCCCTGACGGGGACTGCGGCGGCGTCATCCAGCTGGCGCAGCAGGCGGTCGCCATGTCGAAGGAGGCGCCCGTGGACGCTGCCTGGGCCCCCCTCGCCCTCGCACGGGGCCGCTCGGCTAAGGTGGCGGGCGGCTCAGGGGATCGCGCGCCTCGCTGGCTCTGCGATCGGCTGCGCCCATGGATGCGCCAGCACTCTGAAGGCGCATTAGGTCGACGTCGCCTTCGAGGGAACAAACGCCGAGGGCCTGCTCGCCATCGCAGAGGTCTGGGCGTGGCTCGCGGACAGCCTCAGCAGCATCATCTTCCCCAAGGAGGCGCCGGCTGCCGTGCGCAATCTCAAACTTCCTGATGAGTTGGTTGGGTTCCAGACGCGCGAGTGCGCGAGCGCTGGCATCAACCTGCGCCCGGGCGCCGCCGCCGGGCAGGCGCGCGCCGTGCTGGCGGGCAACTTCCACCCGAGCCAGATCAGGGCGCCCCAGGAGGACGTCGAATCGGACGTTCTGGCAGCTGCGCAGGCGGCCGACAAGGACGGCGAGTCCCGATGGAAGGAATGGCGCCAGCAGGCTGCTGCGGTGGCGCCCGCGGCCCCCGCAGCGCCGCGACCTACAGGGGCATGCAGGGGCCCGCGGTCGCCAAGACGTCGGGCGGCCTCCCCCTCGTCCCACCCGCGCGTCATCGTCGCCGAGATGGAGGGCGTCCACGCGGGGCTCTGGCGCGCCGCGGAGCAGGTGCCTGTGGCGTGGATCCTTGACGAGTCCTCTCTCCCGCGGGTGCTGCCGCTGCGCGCTCGCGATGTGGCGCGCTTTCCCCGTCGCCACGGCGAGCAGCCTCGACGTGATCCACCCGCGGCACCTGTCCGCGCTGTCGGACGACGCGCTGCTGGCGCTGGGCACGCCGCGGGGCCGCGCTGGATCTCGCCCCCCGTGCCCCCCGCGGCGCAGGGCGGGCGCCGGCTCATCGCCCCGCGCGCCGCCATGCGCAGGACGCGGCAACGAGTGCGACGCGATGATCTACAGGACCCTCAGCGGCTGATGTCCCGAGTGCATTGGGGGCGGCAGCCGGGAGGTCGGCTGTTGATTGCACGTGGAAGCTAGCGGTCACGGCCGAGGCGCGCGTCAACGACGGGCGCTACAGCCTGACGCTCATTGCGGACTGCGCGAAGTACCGCGAGACCATCGAGCTCGTCCAGTCGAGGGAGAAGTTCGTCAGGTGCGGAGCTCCCTCCCGGCGGTCAAGTTGCGACGTCGTGGGGCTCGCCCGCGGCGCGGCCACTTCGGCTTTCCCGCTGGAGACGCCTGCGCCGACATAGGCATCAAAGTTCACGCGGTCGAGGCGTACGACCGCTTCGCCACCCTCTTCAGCTGTGTCGACGTTGCGAGCTACATCGACGACAGCAGCGTCGGCGTTGAGGGCAGCTCCAAGGGTGAGGCCATCGAGCGCGGGGTGGCTGCAGGCAAAGGCTTCCAGGAAGTTGGCCCGCAGGCTCGGGGCCACTATCGACGACAAGCTCGCCATCGTCGGCAGCGTCAGAGAGCTCAGCGAGGAGGTCGCGCGCAGGCTTCAGGTCGCCCCATCGGCGGCCAAGAGGGTGACGAATTACCTCGGCACCGACTTCGCAGCCGCGCGAGCTCGAGGGGCTCCTCATGCGCGGTCCAAGCAGAAAGGACGCTTGAAGCAATTTAAGCTGATACAGCGGAAGATAGCCAAGTACAAGAGGGCGGCCCCAGTGCCACGGGAAGCGCGCCTCGGCAAGGTCTTTCGCACTGGCGCGCGGCCTGGCCTGACCTGCGGCATCGAGGCCGTCGGCGTGACTGACAGCGAGCTCACCGCGCTGCGCGGGGAGCGCGGCAGGTGCGTCAGGCCGCGCCGCGGCGGCATTCCGCGAGCGCGAAGCTGGCGCTCGGCCTGGACCCCGCGGCCAAACAGGCGCTGGCCCCCGCGCTCCAGCGGGTGCTTCCGGAACCCCCCCTAAGGGCCCTCAGGGGGGGGGGGGTCTCTTTCGGGCGACCGGGCAGCGTGCGCCGGGACGTCCTGAGCTTGATTCGCCGGCGCTGTGCCGGCGCGAACTTGGCGAGCTCGCCTGGCGAGGCTCGCGCGGGCCGGGCCGCTGGAGAGGGCTGCTCTGCGCGTGCGTCGGGTCGGCTGGGCGATCGAGTCGCCGACCAGATGGAGGGGCCGCTTTGGCGTCGTCGCCCCGCACGAGCAGCTCGCCCCTGGCGTCCTCGAGGCGCGGGTGACGGCGGCGCGGCAGCGCGAGCTCCGCCTGGCCGAGCGATGGCAGCGGCCGCCTGGCCCGAGGATCACTTTCGAAATTCTGAGGCCGTTCGTCCGTGACAAGAGTAAGAAGCGCACGGATTGCCAGAAGTTCCCGGTCATGAGCCCGGCGCGCCGAGGCTGCTGGGCGCGGGGGAGAACCCGTCTGAGTGGTTGCGAGATCGACGTGAAGTGCGCCTGCGGCCAGTCCGACACCGCGCAGCACCGCCCGTGCACTTGCGCGCGGCTGGACGACGTGGCGGCGCGCGAGTGGGCGGAGATCGATGGGAGCTCCCTCGCGCCCGGCGCCCAGGACGGCATCGAACGGCCCTTGTTCCACGGCTGTTTCGAGTACCGAGACAGCGACACCCCTCGACCAGATCCTGGTCCGGAGGCCCGCGTCACCGACCTGAGCGGCGGCCTGGTGAACGTCGAGGCCGAGGAGATGGTCTCCCGCGCTTGCCCCGACGCCGCCGAAATCGAGCTGGCTGCCGATGGCCCCTGCTCCACATCGGCCCTCCCCGAGCTGGAGCGCGCGGGCTGGGGCGTCACCCCGTTCGACCCTGCCTCCGAGTGCCGCTGCTGGCGCTTCAGGGGGCGGTGGCCGCTGCCATGCCGCAGGGCTCCGCGATGGCCGAGTTCCCAGGCATGGCGTACTCGGCGCAGGTGGCTGATCGGCCGACGCACCTCCACCTGGATTTCATGGGCGCAGCGAGGGCTGGCCGCAAGTCTCTCGCCGCGCAGGTTCTGGAGAAATCGATGTACGCATGCGTGCGAGTGTTTGGCAATAGCATGCCGGGCAAAAAGGTTTTCTGGACAGTGAATCACATTGAAGCTTATCGCTCGGGAGAGGCTCACGCGCAGAGTTGCCCTGCTGAGCGCAGAGTCACAGATGGGAACGTTGCTGCCGATTGTTTTGCGAAGCGCGCTGCCCTGCCCCCCCCCCCCCACCGGGGCTGAGTGAGGCTCTCGAGCGTGCTGAGAAAGACTGCGCGCAGTCAGTTCGAGTGGCGTTGGCTGTCCTCCCCCTGTATGAGCAAGAGGAGAGATGGCAGAGGCTTCCAGTGTTCAGGCGTAGTCGACATGTATTGCGCGCTGGATGGCACGACTGATTTTTTACAGGTTTCGGCCAGCAGAGTAGACGTTGTTTTTCTGTGCCCCAGGACGGTCCCGACAGACCGTTGACGGGGCGCCGCGGGGCCCCAGATTTTTTGCTCCCAACCAACCTGTGGTGTTAGGTCTTCGTTTTGAAGAGACAGCGCCAAGAGTTCCATGCCTTTTTCCTCCCCTCCTCCCTCATCACCATCATTCATCACAGTCGTCATCTCGTCGTAATAATCATCATCAACATCAGCATCATAACATCCACCCATCACACGTTCGTTGCCCCAAAGGGAGCTCCACCGAAGGCCCCAATTGGCGCGGTTGTCGCGCGCCAACCCCCCCCCCCCCCCAGCATAGCGTTTCGTGGCCCCGCGGGGGGCGCCGCCTAAGATCCCCTCGGCGCAGTCCGCATGCGCCCCCCCCACCCAGCACAGCGCTTCGTGGTCCCATCGGAGCTCCGCCGAGGGCCCCAGCGGCACAGTCCGCATGCGCCCCCGCCATTCATGCCCGCACACCCCTCATGCGTTTCGTGGCCCCATAGGAGTTCCACCGGAGGCCCCAGTGGTACAGTCTGCGTGCGTCCCCGCCGCTCATTTCAGCCCACCCCTCACGCGTTTCGTGGCCCCATGGGAGCTCCTCCGAAGGTCCCGGCGGCGCAGTCCGCACGCGCCCCGCCCATTCAATTCGGCCCACCCCTCACACGCCCCGTGGCCCCATAGGAGCCCCGCCGACGGCCCCGGCGGCGCAGTCCGCGTGCGCCCCGGCCCCAGTGGCACACCGCATGCGTTCCCGCCATTATTTTCGGCCCACCCCTCACACGTTTCGCGGCCCCACAGGAGCTCCGCCGAAGGTCCCAGTGGCGCAGTCCGCATGCGCCCCCGCCGTTCATTTCGGCACACCACTCACACGTTTCGTGGCCCCATAGGAGCTCCGCCGAAGGCCCCGGTGGCACAGTCCGCACGCGCCCCCGCCACTCATGTCGGCCCGCCGCTCGCGCGCTTCGCGGCCACATAGGAGCTCCGCCGAAGGTCCCAGTGGCACAGTCCGCGCGCGTCCCCGCCATTCATGTCGGCACACCCCTCGCGCGCTTCGTGGCCCCATAGGAGCTCCGCCGAAGGTCCCCGCGGCACAGTCCGCATGCGCCCCCGCCACTCGTTTCAGCACACCCCTCACGCGCTTCGTGGCCCCATAGGAGCTCCGCCGAAGGTCCCAGTGGCACAGTCCGCGCGCGTCCCCGCCATTCATTTCGGCATGCCCTTCGCACCTTTCGTGGCCGCATAGGGAGGTCCACCGAAGGTCCCCGCGGCGCAGTCCGCATGCGTTTCCCTCACCCAGCACAGCGTTTCGTGGCCCCAAATGGAGCCCCATCGAGGGTCCCCGCGGCGCCGCCCGCATGCGTCTCCGTCACCCAGCACAGCGCTTCGTGGCCCCATGGGGAGCTCCACCGAAGGTCCCCGTGGCGCAGTCCGCATGCGTCTCCCCCACCCAGTGCAGCGTGTCGTGGTCCCATACGGAGCTCCACCGAAGGTCCCCCTGGCGCAGTCCGCATGCGTCTCCCCCGCCCAGCGCACCTCCGTCGGGACCCGTCGGAGTTCTGAGGAGGACGAACGGAGTGGGCTGCGGAGGAACGGAGGAGGAGGAGGAGGAGGAGGAGGAGGAGGTCGGAGGAGGAGGGGCCGAGAGAGGCCCCCGCGAGGCCCAAAAGAGCAACGTAGCGGACTTTTCTTTTTCTTTTTTCTTTCATTTGTCTTCTTATTTCCTTTTTTTTGTCTTTCTTTTTTTTTCTTTTTTTTTTTTTTTTTTCCTTTTTCTCTTTTTTGTTCGTTTTTTTTTCTTTCTTTTTTTTTTTTTTTTTTTCTTTTTTTTTTTTTTTTGTTTTTTTTTCTTTTTTTTCCCTTTTTTTTTTTTCAAATTTTTTTTTTTTATTTTTCATATGTTGTTTCTTTTGTATTTTTTTGTTTTTTTTTTTCTTTATGTTTTTTTTTTCTTTTTTTCATCTTTTTCACTTTTTCTTTTCCCTAAACGGCCACAGATGAGGCTCACATCTTCGCCACCCAAACAAGAGAGAGGGCGGACGAAAGACAGAGAGGACCTCGCGGGCCGCAAAAAAAATTATCCTTTGACGTACCCAACCCATTTGTATCAATGGAAACGAGGAGTTGGCCGAAACTTGTATGGACAATCAAC